TGTATCTTATTTACAGCAGTTCAGCACAAGCTACTGCCAGCCTGTATGTCAGATCACATGTGGTATGAAAAATGGCAACATCGGAGTTTATTTCACTAGTATAGTCCCAATTTTGAGCGATATTAGCACCACTTTCAGCTGGCTTCCTGGTCTGTAATTCTACTGTGAGTCATTAAGTCTAATCAGCTGGAAATGGCCATTTCTGGGCCCAAAGATGTTTTCCTGGTGCTAACTGGTCAGGAAAAATTTTGCTGACTTTTACACCAACTGGGATAGGAGAAAGGAAAAGGCATTTAGGGGCAACATATGGCACAGAGAAGGGGAAAAAATTGTCAGTTTCATAAATCAGGATTCCTGAGATCATGCTAGCATATACCACTTTTTCATAAGAAAACTGTTTTCTAGACAGAGGTAACAAAGATTAAATCTATGTTCCTTTAATAAACCATTTGATCTATGTTACGTTACTACTACATATGAAGAAGAAGAAGGCTTTGTTCAAGTCCTAAACGGGGAAGGTAAATAGGCATAAGATGGGTCACAGGAGCGGGAGAACTAAAGAATATTCTGATGGAGATCCTGAAGGTGCAGTTAAGACCCAGTCATAGATCCAGCTAAGTCTTAGATACAGTTAAGATTCCATCTTATTTACTATTTTAATTATGAACTTGGAAATAAAAGAGTGCGCGCTAATGAAATTTGCAGATGGCCTGAACAGAGGCTTTATTAAAACAGAGGCAGACCAGAATACAAAAACAATTGGATGACCTCACATATTGGAATGTAATGAAATTGAAAACTAATAAACAAGCAGTTATGATGCTATAACTCATGAACTGGAAATATTAGTCTATCACAGAATAATTATGTGGTTCTGAGAAAAGGATCATAGGGTCAATTATGTAAAGTGTATCTAACAGTCCAGTGTTAATGGCATAGTACATGGCAGATACACTGTACCATTTTGTGTGCTACTTAAAAAATCAAAATTCAAACTGAAACAGGCACAGACAAGAACTGTTGGGCTTACTGAGAAAGTGAGGAGCCTACCTTTTCAGAGGAGATGATGATAGTGGCTGTGGACAATCACAGCTGCTTTCTGGAGCTTTCTCCATGAAGGGAGCATGCAAGTTTGCACCTCCTCCAAGCACTTCTTCCTGCCTTTACATCTGTAGTGCTCAAGTAGCATTTAGAGATGATAACTGCAATTGTTATACAAGTGTGCAGGTATTAAGAAATTGACTGACTGGGATTTACTGATTTAGAGGAAGTACTGCACCCCAGCTGTTTTATCTGGGACATAACTCACACTTGGAAATTTAAGAATGTCAAAAAAAAAAAAAAAAAGAAAAGAAAATACAAAATGTTGAAGCTGTTGCTTGCCCAAATTGGAAACATAAAGCCAACCAAACAAAGAAACAAACACCACCCAATAATCAATACACAAAATTAGACTCCACTTAATAATAGCAAACCTTCTTATTTGTTCTAGGTATCTTTCATACACTTCATGTCATGTTTTAGGGAGTAATACAAAACCCACCATCTGAACTCTGTGTCTGAGAAATTAACCTTGTCTCTGTGATATAGCCTTACAAAATACAATCTCAAAGGTCCTTTCTAATTTATAACAATCAATTAAGAGCTGGCTGAAAAGGACTCTTTTGAATTACCAAAGAAGACTTGAGATCTTTTTCATATTTTAGCTGGCTTTGGAAAATTACTTGCATTGTTGGGGTTTTTTTAGTTTTCCAGATTGTTTGGATGCCTGACAAACATTTCAGTATTCATAGGACTTTTACTCTTTTGGGACTATTAATTCTTTTTGATTAGGAGGTCAATGAAATGTAAGATTCACTGTTCCTTCCTTTCTCAACATTATTTACCCGTAAAAGTCTTTCTTCACAGTGCTGCATTCTATAATGTCCTAGTAACTATGGACTGTAAAGAAATCAAGTCAATCTAATAGTTGATGCTACATTCCTAGCTTTATAGTCACCAAGAAATTGCATATCATCAACCCAAACAACAAGCCTATTAAGATGGCACTTACTTAATGTAAGTAAGCTCCATTTGTTGTCATTTTCAGGAATTCCTTGTGGCACGAAAGCTAAAACAGCCTGACGTATTCAAACTGACAAAATAGCAGCTGTAAAAATATATTGCTGCTTTCTGTAAGTACTACAGGATTATAAACGCTAAGGAGGAACTGACAGCAAGACAATACTGGCACAAGAACAGACGGCTATTAACTACCCATGGAATTCTGAAGGGTAGTCACTATCTGATAACTGAGTTCTTGTAAAGCCTGAAGTAACTCTGAGGTCAAAATGTCAACAGTTTAGGGACAAAACTGTAAATTTGTAGGATACTTTCAGCATTGTATGTATTTGTTTCTGTAATAAAAAGGTGGGCATCTCAAGCCCAGTGTTCTCATGAGTAGTCCTAATCTGCTCCTATAATGAATTATAACATCTTCTTGCAACTACTACTCTTCATTTTCTCTATCAGAGCACACAGAAATAATTGTACAATTCAGCATATTTGCCTTTAGTGTCTAAAAAACCTGCTACTACCTTTCATATAAGGGCTCAAACGCAGCCTGTGGATTTTTTACTAAGTGTTTTCAGTGTACATTTAAATCTCCCCTACCTCCACTTCCGAAATTGCCTTCAGATTAATGTTCATAGATGCTGCATTAAGACTAAACTCCCTTTTCCTTGAGGTACAGCTGAGAACCTTGGTAAAAATATTACATTATTGCCCAGCAAAATACTATGTAACGTACCAAGAGAAGTGCAAAGGACAGGTAAATGTAAACAAACATATATATCTGTAGGTTGACTGGTCACTTTATACACATAATGAATACCAAAGTGAAAGGAAGTCTGTCACAGGTTCAGCAGATGAAGGACCCAAGAACTTGTGCTCGACATGTGCCATAGATCTAGTGCCATATCAATGCCCTGGAAATTAAACAAACTCAATCAGTGCTAAAATATTATATAATAATTAAGATATCTTAAATAGCATTGGTACAGCCATCTGCTTGGAAGACTCCCAGGGGTCAAGATTTTGAGTCTGTCCATGAAAGTAAGAATGGGCATAATGGACCCAAAGCTTTCTTAGGTCAGCACTGTCTCTCCAATGGGACATTACTGAAACAAAGAACAAAAGAAAAGAAAACCCCAAAGGATTCACTGTATCTTCTTAGAGTCCAGCAGTATACAATTCAGGGCTTTACTGAGGGAGAGTTGGGTTTGTACACTTTTTATAGTCTTAAAATGGATTTCACAAATTTGTTGAAACGCTTCTAGAAACCATGTGGTTTGCCAGCACTCTGAACACATTTCCACAGCCTGATGAAGCACAGTGTGGAAATATCTCTTCTGAGAAGATACCATCTGCCAGTCTTTTGGTGCTCGCTATCTCTCATTGGGAGTGCACCACTCCAGGTCCACCTTCCATATATGTTTACGATAAGGACCTCTAGCACATCCAGCTTCCACTATTCCCTTTCCAAGCTGACAAGTTTTTGTCTGAATTGTGATTTCTGCTAAGGAAATTACTCAGTATCCTTGTTTTGCATCTCTGTGGTTTTTCCATACCTGTTACATTATTTTTCAAATGATGAAATGAAGCTTGTACATTAAAGATTTCAGGGCAACCATATTTGTCCAGCCACATAGCAACTCCTGAGCTGTATGAGTTGCATAATGAAGCTGTACAGTATCATTTTGCTTCATATACTCCTTCTTTCTCATGGCAAATATCCTTATACTCACTAATTCTATTATTTATTATACATTTTATCATTTTTCCTGGGGAAATCATCAGTTTTTCTCCAATTTCCCTCTGGTATCACATTTACTACACTTCAGCCGTCTAGCACCAAAGCCAGTGCCTGCTACAGTGCACTAACTATAGTTAATAGTAAGTTGCTGTCAAGCAATTTTGTAAGCTTTCATACATACTGTCTCTACTCTTTCTAATCCCTGTTTTGCTGGCTTTTTCACATCAGACACTGCAGTTTGGGCCACCAGAGTGTTGAGAGACTGCTGGTTCTCTGATACACCTTTCTACAGACACAAATTCTTCCTGAGGACTCCTCACTGTGAAGGGCAACACAGAAAACTCAGTGTTGGGTTTGTCAAAACATCCTGGCATCCCAACATGCATAGAAATAGCATGGCCAGTTGGAATAACGAAATTATTCTTCCTCTGTAATTGGTACTGATGGGGCCATGCCTTGAGTTCTGTGTCCAGTTCTAGGACCCTCAATTCAGGAATTACATTGTAGTGCTGGTGTGTGTCCAGATATGGGCAATGGAGCTGGTGAAGGGTCTGGACCATAAGTCACATGAGGAGCAGCTAAGGGAGCTGGAGTTGTTTAGCCTTGAGGAGGCTGAAAGGGGACTTCATTGCTCTCTACAACTACCTGAAAGGGGATTGTAGCCAGGTGGATGATGGTCACTTCTCCCGAGCAAATAGTGACAGGACAAGACAAAATAGTCTTGAGCTGCGCCAGTGGAGGTTTAGGTTGGACATGTGGAAGAATTTCTTCCCAGATTTAATGATTAGATACTGGAAGGGGTTGCCAGGGCATTGGTGGAGTCACCGTCCCTGGTGGTCTAGTTGACGTGGTGGTGTTTGGTCATAGGTTGAACTCGATGATCTCAGAGGTCTTTTCCAACCTAATTGATTCTGTGATTCCGTAGCACAGGTTCCAGCAGCATTCGCTGTCCCGAACCACCCCCAGCGCAGAGCCGGAGCTGTGCAGAGCACACACCTATTTCTGAGCAGGGCTGCCTGGCGGATGCACCCCTTGGCACCCCACATTTGTGCGGACACGACGCAGGCTCGGACCCCTCCGGATCCCCGCGGCCCCGCAGACCCTGCCGGGCTCCCCTCCCCCAGCTCCCCGGCCCGGCCCCGCGCAGGGCGCAGGGCGCAGGCGCGGCGGGGCCGGCGCGGGGGCGGGTTTGAACGGTGGCGGGCGCCGGAGCTGCCCGGGCTGTGGCGCCAATGGAGCCCGTCCTGACAGGTACCGGCCCGTCCGCCCCGCGGGGGCTTCTCCCGAGCGGCCGAGAGGGGACGCCGGGCTGGCGCGGGCCCCACTGTCCCGCTCTCCGTATTTTCTCGGCCCTTGCCCCGGTGCCTCCCGGCGGGGCAGCCGGCGGGGAGCGGCCGGGCCTGGCTGGTGCGGGGCTGCGGTCGCGGCCGGCGGTGGCGGGGGGACGGGGCTCCCCCGCGGGCTGCTCTGGCTCGCCAGGAACCCCTCGGCCCCGGCTGTGCCCGGCAGGCCCGGCGCGGTGTGAGGCGCAGGGCGGGGCCGGGCCGGGCCCGCCTCGCTCGGGCTGCCCCGCCGGCGTGGCTGCTGCTGCTGCTTTGCCCGGAGCCTCCATCCGCTCTTCCTGCCCGGGCAGTCCTGGCTTCCTTCTGCATCTCTCTTAAATTTCTGCCTCGCCAAGTTGCCCTCTAATGGCAACTGAGCGATCACCTTCTTCTCTGAGACCTTCTAAGCATAAGTTGGCCTTTACAGGAACCAGTCTCAGAGCTCTTCTAGTTGAAAAAAGCTCCAAGCGCTTCCTCATTTTCCTTTCCATCAACTATACAAAAACTACAAAGGGCCTTGGCTTTTGTTGGAGTATATTTGATTACCTAAAATGGACTAATTATCGTAAAATATACCTTTGATCCTACTGCAGGTACATGGAGCTTTGAAGTAGCATCCATCTAAATTCCTAGTGTGACCTTTACTGAAATGTTCCGATCTGTTTTTCTAGGAAAATTATAACTCTGAAGGTTCTAAAATTTTTCCTGTAAGAGGAAGATAGTGTCTTTTCAAATGCAAGTGCAGTGTTTCTCACAATAAAAGAATCAAGTTGAAAAAGCAAGTCTATCAAATGCTGCCCTGGTCTAGTAGTAGAATGAACCCCATTGAAAGTGCACTGGAGTAGATTTAAATTCCCATGCGTATCTGAAGTCGTAGTACTGATAATAAGATTTTCCCAGTGGACTGGATAAGGAAGTGGTTTATGTTCAATATTTCTCTTGTATGTCAAAAGTATTTCTAGTAATTGTAAAAATATGTTAATCTTTATAAAAGTACTTCTACTGTTGAATCATTATTCTGGTTTTCATTTAGAAAGAAGACAGATGGCACTACTTTATAATTAATCAACAGGACATGTGTAGTATATTTGCTAAGGATGACCCTTTTAAATTGAAACTCAATTTAATTTATCAGTTCTAAGAGTTGTCTGGCCTATGGTTTGTGTAAAGGTTTTTTTTTGTGAACTGGCATTCCTCTAGTTTTTGGAACTTTCCTGATTCATCATGCAAAACGGGAAAGTGGCATGGCCAATGGAATTGTAGGACACTTTAGTGCTCACTCTAAAATGAAATTAAAATTAATGAAGGGATTATTATGAGCTTTATTTGCTTATCCCTCCATGTCAGTACTTCTGTGTTGGTGTTTTAAAGACCTTGTTTGGTTGCTTAAAAACCTTCTCAACCAAGGCTGATTTAGTTCCTTGAAGAATTCATTAAACTGCTTGATAAAGGAAGCTACTTAAATGTGAATATGTAAAGTTGTGTAAGGCAACTGACATGAAATTTTATTAGCCCCTGTTATATGTACCTAATTTTGGGTGGTTCACTATAAATAAAGTGAAACTCCAAGTCAATGGGAAACTTAAGTAATATTTCTGTAGAGTTTTCTGGGAGTTTGGGGAAGGAATATTTCTATTGTGGTTATTTCATTTTATTCTGTAGCTTGTGTTACATCAACTTGTCTTCAGATTTTTTATTAACCTGAAGTTAGCAGTAATTAAATAATGATAAGGTTAAGCAATCATGTAAAGATAACACATTGCTTGTTAATCTGGTAGTGTGTTTTATGTAAGTGAAGTGAAAAGTTGTTTAACTAGTGCAAGACTTCTAAGTTACTTCAATTACAACTAGTTTAAGGGACATAAATACACTTAAAAAAACTTTCTGCTGCTAAAATCTGATACTCAGTTTACTAAAATATATATTTGCAAGTGAATATAATATGTATAAAAGCAAAATTTTATTGGAAAGGCAGCTTAACCAGTTTGACCATATTATATACTTTATTAGTTGTTTGTTGCTTTCTCTCTTCTTATCCAGGTGTTTCAGCATTTGTAGAAGTTTGGTCATCTAACAGAACAGAAAATTACTCAAAAACCTTTGAACAGCAACTTCTTGATATGGGAGCCAAAGTAAGGAGACTATTTTTAAATATATAGAATAGGAACACTCTTAATTATGCACTAGCTTGCTTGTTCTGCCTGTCATGTATATTTCTTTTTAGTACGAGTTTTTAAAGGGCAGGAAGGAGGAAAATCACAGACCTGAGAGCAGACCAATGTGCTGTAAAATTCCTGCTCTGACAGATGGGAAATGCATTTAAAGCCTCTCTACATCTAGAAAGCTCTTTGCATACTAATGTGATAGCATGCATTTCTTGTGAAGTATTGGGCTTGCCATGTACTGTGGGCAAAACAAATCCAAGTGTTGAAAACCTTTGGTTTACAAATTTGTACCTTAGGTGGTTTTGTTTTCTTTAACTTGTAGGCAGCTGCTCTGTTATTAGCAAAATATTTTCTAACTCTAACAAATACCATGACGTTGTACTCGTTCATTCCCTCTCCCACAAATGTGCTTCAATTCCAGAAAGTGCTAGTAAAAATACATCTAAGAGTCTCAGTTTATGTCAAAATGATTTTTCCATATCAAATATAGCTGACTTGTAGGTGCAAAAGATGTTTAATTGCCAGCTGTAAAATTTCAGCCAGAGACCAAAGTCAAACTCATGTCTTCCCTTCTTGCACATTATCATTGGTTAATGGAGATTTTTACAGCCCACATCATGCTCTAAAAAACACTTGTGTGAACTCCCAGTCCTCTTTAAGTGGGCATGTGTAGATATATCTTACTATAATTAAGAAAGCTTGCTGATCTCCTCCAGTCCTCTCTTTCTGTATGAAATAAGCTGAGAGTCTGACAGAACAGTAGGATAACTGTTTTATTATAAAAGCAAACATAACTCTCAATAAATAACTCAAGTAACAAATATTTCTTGTTCTTTTGGGCTGTACTATCAGATCTATGTAATTCGATTCTGATGATGTTAGGTTTTTCTCACAGAAAATATGACAAAAGCGTAAGGCTTCAAAATTCTTCAGGTTGATCCAAGCAGCCAAATATGGTGGAAGGTGCAGACAGATGATATGAATGAGCCTATTTAGCAGATCCCTATGACTGAAAAGGGGTGGTTGTGCCTCTTCACTCTTCCAGACACTTCCCTTTTATTGGCTGAGCACATGATAGTAAGACTGCCTTTGCTCAGTGTATCAGGAAATTAAATTCTATATTAGTTTTTCACTAGATTGTTGATTCAGACATCTCAAGGTAAGTTCAGCTGAGCAGCAGAAGATGTCTGGGGTAAGGGAGGAGGTGGGAGGGGTGAAAGGGAGGTATAAGATGGTGCTCCTCCATAATTTGGAGGCAAAGCTATATCGAACATCTCTCTCCTTAGGACATGAGCTGTCAGCTGGATACTGGCAAAAGTGAGTAAGCAATTGTATCTGGAGTCATAACTTATTCCAAAAGAGAGTCATCTGTCCTGGATACCTAGATACTTAAAAATCATGGGATTTTGTCTGCTAAGAAGTCATAAACCAGCTTGCCACCAGAAATTTTTGGAGAAGCTGAATAGTTTTCTTAAAGCTAAATACAGACACAGCATACTGGGAGCCAAGTATAGTGATGCAGCTGAGAGAGCAACATTTGGCTGTGCTGAGAAGGTGCTGATGCTGTAAAAAATGGGTTGTATTGATCTCACTATGTCAACAATCACAACTGATCAAGCAGTTCTGCGTGGGGTGTTTAGTCTCAACAAAGGAAATTTTGATTGTGAAGAATGGAATATCTAGAACTGAAAATATTATCTCTTAGTTGTCAATAGAAGCTGAGAACTGACAGTTTGATCAGATGTGGAATATAGCTGTGTACTGACTTTAATTTTTTGTATTTCTCACTTTTTAAAACATTCACGTATAATTTTTTTGTTAGTAGCACCTTCAACCTTCCCTCAAAAGTGATCTTTATTGATGAGAATTGGTTTAAGGAGTGAAATTAGCTGTACTCTTTAAACCTATGTTATTTGCTGAATAAAAGATATAATTTACTATTTCTTTGGATAGTGGCACCTGCTTTCTGTATAGCTGTTGCATAAGAAATTATGTTGCACTACCTAAGTAAGTGATACAGCTAGAGTAGAGAGTTGGAAACAGTAACCTAGAGAAAAGAAGTTAGAAAACAGAAGGCGACTCTCGCCCTCTAGCCTGCATTGGCTTGAAAAATGAGACTTGGGTTTTGGTTGTCTGAGGATTTTTGTAAAGATGGGAAAGATCAAAAGAGTTCTTGACATAATGTTTTGAATAAGTTTTATGCTAATGATTTATACACTAAAAATAGACTACAGTAGCTAGTTTCATTAGCATTTTCCTATTATCAGACTTACAGATAAGCTCTCTGTGTATTTCTGCAGGTCTCAAAAACTTTGAACAAACACGTGACCCATGTAGTCTTCAAGGATGGACGTTTCACTACATGGAAAAAAGCACAGAAGTTGGGTGTAAAAACAGTCTCTGTACTTTGGGTGGAAAAGTGAGTACTCATGATTATGACAAATGTGGCCTTTCCCAGAGATAATGGATTCTAGTATTGTTTTATTGAAAAACTTCAGAACCTGTTTTATTAATGTACTTGAAATAGTGATCAGTAGCAAGCATGGGTAGAGCCCTTCTCAAATCTTCGTTCGCAAAGCCTAGCCGTGAATTAATGAATGAAATAATGATAAATCCATGAGTAAATTGTAACTTTGTTATGACATTATTCCTTTTTATAAAGCGTGTTACTTGCATAAAAAGGTAAAATGTTAACTCTTAAAAAATGAATGTGTTGAAGTAGTTTCGAAGTATGTTTGTTAACCATTCAGTGTTCTACTGCTTCCTCTCAGATGGCATGTGTAGGCAGTGATGGCCAGATATTCTTCCATTTTCATATGAAAAGGCACATTTCATCAAGGGCATTTTACTATTTCTGTACTTCTGTAGAAAGAATATATCCTAGCAAGAAAGAAAAAGATCCATATGTAGTCTGGCTTTTAAGACATTTGTCAAGTTCAGAACAGCACTACATGAAGATTCTCTTCTACCATATGGAAAAAGTTATATTTATAAAAAAAAGTTTTAAAAAAATTTTGGCTGTGCAGCTAGTCTGTGAGAATTTGCTAGGCCAGAGTTGCTTCTCTTGAGTTTACGAAGTGCTTGAGAGGCCTAACTTAGATTTCAGATGAAGTGTCAAAACACAGTTTATGAATATGCATGTGTTATATTCAAACACTCCAATTGATAAATTGATGTGATGATGGAAATTAGAATATAAGTCAAGTAAAGAGGGCCTTACCTATACCAATTGTAATATGCACAGAGAGATAGCAGTCTTAGTGCAAAAGTTTTGGGGTTTTTTGATTTTCTTTTTTTTTAAAAAGGGGGAACAAATCTGATCTCTTCAACCACTTAATTTAGGCCAATACAACCAGAAAACTTGTGAGGCAATTCCACTAGCATAAAAAGAAATTTATGCAGATCTGCAGAAGCAGGGGTTTTCCTTTTTTTTTTTTTTGGTAAGGGATGTCAGATACAGAAGTTACAGACACACAATCCAGCCAGCTTTAACACCAAGGAAAAAAATACCTTAAGTTCCCAAAAATGTGAGTGAAGCAAAATTGTATTTATGAGAATGTATCTCTCTGTGACTTGGAAGTGCTATAGTAAAAAGAATCTTAAAAAAGTGCAGGTGAGTAGGATCAGCCATGGAAGAAGAATGAGAGCACCTTACAGGGGAGAGTCTCGGTCATGTCATACAGAAATGCTGTCTCCATAATAGCAGTTCCACCACAAGAATCTCCTCTGCAATGCTGGAAGGCACTGAGTGGATGAACACTATAGAAAGTTGAGACGTAGAGACAGCTGGATCTGTGACACTGTAGGAGACAGCAAGGAGCTCTGAAATCCAGGAAATCCTCAAGGAAACTTCTGCTGGATACCAGAAACAAAGGAAAAAACCAAGAAGAAGGATCTGGAGGGAAAACTTAAGCAGTTTGGTAGGAAAGAGAAGGCTAGCATCTTTCTGGTATTTTTTTAAGTGTTTCTAGTATCATATTCTGACCAAGGCAAAGTCTTGATATATGGCTTAGAAGATGAAGTTTGTTGGAACTGGGGGATTCCTCTGAAATAGAGGTATTTTTTTGCAGAGGAGGACCCAACCTGTGAATTATGATTGGATTTTTCTGTAATATTTTTCTGCTGCCTTTTAGTTTAAAGTAAGTGCTACAAGAAGAACAGAAAGACATACAGCTTAGGTTGGTGCATACTGTAGGCAGAATTTGTGGGAATATCATATCCTTGAGCAAAGTATAGGTCAGGAGTAGTAGGAGCTTACAGAAGAGATAGTAATATTCTTACTAGTCATAGGGTTATGCAAATGTTGCACAGGCAGTACAAAATTAAAATCAGTCTGTGCTAGCATTCAATTTTTTTTTTGGTACTAAGATGAGGAAACTGGAGTGCCTGATTTTAAATTATATGCCTTGTATATCAGTGTCTGAGACATTGGTAGGCAAAAGACAGTCTGTTGAACCCTGGGAAAATGTAAAGAGTGTGTGCCAGTAAAATAGTTGTCCTGTGTGAATAGAAGCTAGTTTGAACCTGACGACTGTGTAAGCAAATAATGCAGAGCTCCTATGAGTTGAAGTTATATATACATTCATTTAGAAATGAATGTATATTTTCCTTTCCAGTAGAAAAATTGGAAAACATCACATGAAAATGCCTGGATGCAGATTCAGAAAAAACAGTAAATGACAGGTTTTAACAGAACTCCTTGTTGCATAATCATAGTTAGCAAAGATTTACATGGGTTTAGAAAATTCTTGAAGCAATTAAACGTTTAGTATTATTAAAAGCTAAAGTGTTGCATCTCACCATCTCTAAATGAGAATTTTGTGGAACATAGACAATTGAAGTTCAAAAAAATTCGTAACTCCAGAGTAAAGGTATTTTTAATTTTAAAAAAATTCTTTAGTTTCCTTTTCTTTTGTTTCCTTTCTAAGGATGGTAGATATGTCTCATGTTAAAAACAGTGAACAAAATCATGGACTTGCAATCATGCAAACAAATTTTAAGTTCAATGCAAAATTATTGACAGCTTTGGGATCACTGAGGAAAATCTTTTTGCATCTTCTTTAACACAAATACCTCAGTGAGCAACCTAAAAAAAATCAAAACCCAAAACCAAAAAGAACCCTATAAAGATAGAATTGCTACAATCTGCCTCCAAGTTATGAACACTTTATACTTCCATATCAAACCCATGATTGTGAAACTCTACCTGTGTATTCTTAACTCATCTCACAAATAAATGATAAATCGTTTACATTCGGAATTGTATGCAAAAATTCTTATCATATATTTAGTGGCCAAATTTTCTTCTGTTTAGCTTCTCTGAATCAACAAAATCTCTGAATGAATGTAATTTTTCATGTAGTCTACATCTATGCTGATTATTATCCTGAATTCATTAAGATTCCTAAAGTTTTGAAATCTCTTTTTGATGCTCCAGAGAATCCTAAATTCATTTTGTTTGACAAATGCATGTAGTTGGCTTTTTTCTTCATTCAAAACTGAGTAACTAAGGGTTAAATTATATTTGTACAACCACAGACTTTCTAGCAGTTCCGTCGCTAGGTGTCGGTAGAGCCACACGGGTGGCTGCAGGAGGGACTTCAGCCACAGCTTTGGAATGTGTACAAAATAACACAAGTGGGAATCTTTCCGTTTCAGAGCAGCAATTTAGAGGGCATCATTAGCACAAAAAGTTGTATCACATATCAGGCATTAAGGTATAGATTCGAGTGGTTTTTTAGCATTACAGTAGTTACCTTAAAATTACACTTTTAGGAAGGATTGGTGTTACATTATTACAGGACTCAGACAGCTTTTTTTGCAGTAAAGGTTCTCATTCTTAAAACCAAACAAAACTAAGAGAAGAAAACCCCAGCAAACCTGCTCTAATTTATTGTACAGGTGTCAAGAAACTGGAGTACATGTTGATGAATCCTTATTTCCTGCAGTGGACACTAATGAAGGATTTCCACTACTGATCAAAAAAGTATGTGATTTTTTTTTTAAAATAGGCCTAGAACAGTAAACTTTAAAGTTTGAACTTGACTTTCTGTCAAACTTGACATTTGAACTGTTTATTTTCAGAACATTCTGTAAACTGTACTTATCCATCTAAATAGGATTTTAAAAATAGGCTATTGCTGTGATCATATCTGTGATCTTATCTGAAGAAAGTATACTAAAATACAGGTTTTGTATTGGTGAATAAAAAATGAAGATGTTTCATTGAGTCGCAACAAACTCTATTTTAAAAAAATACCTTTAAAGCTTTAGCTTTGCTGCAAGCAATAAAGATCTGTTAGGTTCTTTCCTACTTCATATTAAAGTTCACTTTGAAAAATGTTGACTTCTACAATTATCTGTGACTGAAGATAAGTAGCATAAACACCAGTAATAAATACTGTGACAAAGTGGTAGGCAAATAGGAAGTATAGTTACTTCTGCCAGTTTTATACTATATAAGTAATAGTTTTGTGTGTTTGTAGCACAAATGTATGCAGCCAAAAGATTTTGTTGAAAAAACTCCAGAAAATGATAGAAAACTTCAGAGAAGACTGGACCAGATGGCTAAAGATTTAGCTCTACAAAAGACAGCAATTAATGATGGTAAGAACTATTTTCATCTAACATTCAACTATCTGAAGTTATTTCTTTAAAGCACTTAATGGAGTTTTTGGTTTTTGGTGATTTTTTATTTCATGGGGTTTTTTTTAGTTTTATCCATCTTGCCATGAGAAATAAAGTTCACTTTTTACAGAGTTCTTTGCAAGTCTGTGGTGTTAAGACATCTGTAATGACCTTAGATATAAACTATTTTTTGTTTTTTCGAATGAAAAATGAAACTTCATCTGAAGTTGTTATAGCATTTAAATGTTATATATAAATACAATTTCTTTGTGTAGATGTACCAGTTTTATTGTTTGAAGACAATGGTTCACTTATATACAGTCCTGTTAATAAGATGAAAGATCAATGCAATGCAATTGAAAGAGGAATGAAGGATATGAAGAAAAAAAGAGAAAATCTTTCTCCTACTGGTAAGAAGTTAAATTTTACTTATCTATGAACATGCACAAATGGCTACTGTTTTTATTGCTGACTTTTTTGCACACTTGTTGTGTTCTCACCTTCAGAATTTTTTTTTCATCTCTCACTTGATTGCATGTCTTCCCTTTTTCACAGTTTTTGAGTAGGTACTGAACAACAGGATTTATAAATTAAATAAATTTGAATAACCTAATTGCATAGTTGATTTCAAAATGCAGATCCAGGTGAATTAAATCTAGATTATAGTTTTCAAATGTTTTTTAGTGCTTGCATTACCTTACTGAGAAAATATTAAGATCGAAATCATTAGGTTTTGCCAGCTGTTGAATGTGGAACATCTTTTGGTGGGACGAATCCGAAGTACTTGAAATTTTAAGGTGACATATTATAACATATTGAAAAGCATAGAATCATAGAATAGATTGGGTTGGAAAAGACCTCCAAGATCATCAAGTCCAACCCCTGATCCAACTCTAATTACTATATCATGGCACTAAGGGCCATGTCCAATCTCTTTTTAAAAACCTCCAGGGATGGTGAATCCACCACCTCTCTGGGCAGGCCGTTCCAATGCCTGATCACCCTCTCTGTAAAGAATTTCTTCCTGACATCTAACCTAAACTTCCCCTGGCAGAGCTTGAGCCCATGTCCCCTTGTCCTGTTGTTGGTTGCCTGGGAGAAGAGACCAACCCCCACCTGGCTATAACTTCCCTTCAGGTAGTTGAAGAGAGTGATGAGGTCACCTCTAAGCCTTCTCTTCTCTAGACTAAACAACCCCAGCTCCCTCAGCCTCTCCTCATAGGACTTGTGCTCAAGTCCCTTCACCAGCCTCGTTACTCTTCTCTGGACCCGCTCCAGCACCTCAATATCCTTCCTGAACTGAGGGGCCCAGAGCTGAACACAATACTCAAGGTGTGGCCTCACCAACGCAGAGTACAGGGGAAGGATCACTTCCCTGCTCCTGCTGGCCACACTGTTCTTGATGCAGGCCAGGATGCCATTGGCTTTCTTGGCCACCTGGGCACACTGCTGGCTCATGTTCAGCTTCCTGTCGATCAGCACCCCCAGGTCCCTTTCAGCCTGGCTGCTCTCCAGCCACTCTGTGCCCAGCCTGTAGCGCTGTGCGGAGTTGTTGTGGCCAAAGTGCAGGACCCGGCACTTGGCCTTGTTGAACTTCATTCCATTGGAGTCAGCCCAACTCTCCAGTCTATCCAGATCCCTCTGCAGAGCCCTCCTGCCTTCTGGTAGGTTGACACTCCCTCCCAACTTGGTGTCATCAGCAAATTTGCTGATGATGGACTCATCAGCATTTCTACTATATCAAGTCTTTGATGCTTGGTATGTATTTGTGCAGTGTTAGTGATAAGTGATAGCTCGATACTGGAAGTAGCATAAGTGTACCAGCAAACTTTTTTTGTTTCTGTAAATTAGTTACATGTTGATGAGGTAGAACGTGGCAATTTGAGAGCTTTACCTTCAGTAAGTCCCTCCAACATTACAACCGCACAATGTAATTTTATGTTAAGAATAGATCACCATATCCCATGAGAGCATTCGGTGTACCTTCCATCTCTGTTGCTTTGTGACAATTGCCCTTTTGTTTGTACTTCAGAGATATATGAGATATGTGGGCTAATAGTGGTTAAAAACTTCAAGAAACCAGTTTTATTTGAGGACTGAATTTAAGACCTCTTCAACTGTTGGTTGAGAGTCTGATCCTTTCTTCTCCATATATTTTATTTTTCTTAATATAGTTAGCTACACTGTATGTTTAAAAATATTATCTATAAGCAAATAACAAAAATATTGTTTGTAAGCAAATAACATCGAGACTTCCCCTAAAATCCACAGGAGCACTTGCAGAAATATTGCTGAAGCTTTACACTCAACGTGTATTTAAGCAGAAGCATCTATTGCAATTATCAGATTGTAGAACAACAGAATTTTAAAAAAATATATTCTGAATAATCAGAGACATTATCTTGTTTCAGAGGAATTTATTGTGAAGTGTTATGAATATATTCTGTACACCACCTCGCACAAAATAGTTTCATAAGAAAAGCTACAAGAAATTACACATTTTCCCACATTCTAATTATTTTTAACACATTGTGTTGATGTATGTGGTATGATACTATGATGTTGTATTTAATTTCTTGACTGCAAAAACTACAAGGTGGTGCTAATGCTGTGGTAGCAAAAATGGTTACTGAGTTTCCAGTATTACTCTAGCAAGCTTTAGCAGTAAAATCTTGCTGGTTTTTTCCCCAAATACAAGATGGAAAACAAGTTCCTCTGCTACTTTGTTTCAAGAAAGCAGAATAGGACTTATGGGTGCTTAATGACCAGCTAAGGAGATATGATAGCTAAAGCTGTTGTAGGTTCTTGTCAACATAGAATGTGCTTTGTTTCTAATCCATTTTCTGTTTAGTTTTTGATGACTTGCCCTATAATATCCAGAACAGTGGCTAAATCCTCTTTTTTTATTCAGTAATTCCTGATATAGTTTACTGAGAAATTGATACTCTTTCTGTTTTGTTCAATAAATTTATATCAACACTTCTTTTATTCTGCAGGAGAACAAATGGAAGACTGCTTGAACTCAAGTTATGATTATCTTTGGGGAACTGAGAAATTAAAGAGGCAGAAAACAGAGATGGTAGAACACTCCTGTGATACTTGGACTGATACTCTTGTATCCACGAGTGCATCAGTGAAGCCTCCATCACAGGGCAATGAGCAAAAGAGCTTAACACCAAAACGGCATACCAGAAGTAGTTTAACAAAGAAACGGATTATACAGCACACTTTGGATGACAAATTGTCTTTAGAAAAGAAACAATCAAAGTTTCCAAAGAAAAATCAGAAGAATGAAAAGAGCAAGACTACTGCAAGTGCAAATGAAAGTTCTCTTCTCAGGGACTTCGATTGTATTACTCCTTCCAAAAAATTAGTGCAACTAAATACTGTTCCTTCTTTGATTGACAATCTCTCTAATTCACCTATGAATAGTGAAGCCTTAAATACACGTTCACTGGATAAAAGCTTCCCTGTTGACAAAAATGATAGTATTCTTGAAGTTAAGAAGAGGAAGGAACTACAACCATTGCCTAGTTTGAAGATGGTTACCTCAGAACTGGGTGCATCAGGGTCTAAAGGGCTCTTGCAAGCAGTTACTACATATAGCAAGTCGTTTTGTACTGAAGAGGCTTCTTATGAAGACTTCTTTTCATCATCTAATTTAAATGAAAATGAAGTACCGATAAGAGTACCAAATGAATCACAGAGTCGTCCTGAAGTTTGTTACAAAGACTCTTTTACAAGCATGGACTTCTGCCGTGTGAGTTTCTCTAAGCCACATACTACTACCAAGAAAAGTAGGAAAAGCTCTATCTCATTTAATGATTTTCCAGTAAAGAAAAAATTCAGACCAGCTAAACGTCCTGGAAGCATGTCATTGAATGTATCAGATGGCACTGCAGAAGTTCTAGATTCTGATGATGTGAATAGGCTGCCTCAGCATGCTCAGGAAAACTCCTACAGAAACAATGTGAATTACTATGCTCATACTACTGGTAAGTCACTACCTAGAGCTGGAAAATCAAAAGATATCATACTGCATTAGATATACTCATGCAACTAAATTGGAAAACGTATCGACATTCCAAAAGGAAAAATATTTCAGGAACACGCCAAAAGAAGAAAATGCTGCAGTACTGACTTTATTTCTGAGTAAAATAAATGAGTGCATAGGATCCAAAAGAACACCCATTTGTTTCACCATACATTAAAAATACAAAGAAGTCATAAGAGATAGGAAACTGCTTACTATATACAACAAAAGTAATGTTGAGCCTTCTTTTCTCCTAATGTTCGTTATTTTGAACACTTTCTGATGCTATTCAAAATCTGTTTAAGACACCAAGGTCTTTCTCTTTTAAATGTTATAGTGCTCTTGTAAAGTAGCTCCGCATCATAGGTTCCCTTGTTCAAACTATTTTTATTTCACAAGTAAAAATTTCTACTAAAATTGCAATTAAGAGCATAAAATCTCTGGTGAAAAAAATATTTGAGTTAGCAATTTCTAACTTGTGCAGAGGTAAAGATGGAATAAGACATAAGTTGCAATGTAAGCATCTTTTTCTACAATGACTTTTTTATGTGAACTGATCTTCATCTTTTAATAATAATTTTAGAAGTATTTTTTATATTTAAGCATTTTTTAGTTAGTTTAGCTCAATGTATTACAATGAAAATGTATACTAAAATATTGAATCTCAGGAACTTCTGTGGAAAATGGTCCTAATTTGCATTGGGGTTATCATTTTCCAGTTTTGATATTTTGAACTCTGTTTGTCAAACTTTACATGGGGGTGAATATTTGTAATTGTATATTTTAGTAACTTGTTTTTCCTAGAAAATTCTGTAGCAGTTCATCAATGACTTCTGTAAAATAATTATTAACTTAAAGGGCTCAAAAAAGTTGGTATCAGAGTTATGAAATCCAGTTGAAATATTGAACGGTGACTATGAGTAATTAGTGATCACTGAACTGTGATCTGCTATTTTGGGTTCACTACATCTGTATTTTAATACCTGGAGTGCATCGTTATAGCACAGTTTAAAAAACAGTGGATGCAAGTGTGTTATAAACATACATCCATAAATGACCACTTCCTTCTCCGAGTGATAGAGGAGCCAACAAGGAGAGGTGCCATGCTGGACCTTGTCCTTGCCAACAGGACAAGGTGGGGAATGTGAAGCTCAAAGCTAGCCTTGGCTGCAGTGACAATGAAATGATGGAATTCAGGATCCTTGGGGCAGTGAGGAGGGTGCACAGCAGGCTCAACACTCTGGACTGGAGGACAACAGACTTTGGCTTCTTCAGGGATCTTGTTTGGTACTGTGGGCTAGGGCCCTTGAGGGAAGAGGCACCAAAGAGAGCTGGATGATATTCAAGGATTGTCTCCTCCAGTCTGAAGAACAATGCATCCCTACAAAGAGGAAGTCCTGGAAGAAGGCCAGGAGGCTTCTCCAGATGAACAAGGAACTCCTGGACAAACTTAAAACACAAACAGGTAGTTTACAGAGGACAGAAGCAGGAAAAGATAGCCTGTGAAGAATACAGAGAAATTACCTGAAGAACCAGGGATCTGGTTAGGAAAGCTAAAGCATGGGCAGAAGTAAATCTGGCCAAGGATATCAAGGGTAACCAAAAAGCTGGTTTAGGGGCATCAGCAACAAAAGAAATATTAGAGAAAATGTGGGTCCTCTCAGGAAGGATACAGGAGACCTGGTTACCCAGAGCATGGAGAATTCTGGTTTATTCGAGTTTTTTTGCCTCAGACTTCACCATCAAGTGCTTCAGCCACACTGCCCAAGTTGCAGCAGGTGAAAGCAGGCATTGGGGGAATGAAGAACCACCTGCTGTAGGAAAAATCCAGGTCTGACACCATTTAAGGGACGTGAAGATTCCCATGCACAAATCCATGGGACCTGACAAGATATATTCATGGATCCTGAGGAAACTGGCCAAGGAAGTGTTTAATCCACTATCCATCATAACTGAGAAGGCATGACAGTGCTGTGAAGTTCCCACTGATGGGAAAAGGGGAAACATAATGCCCATTTTTTAAAGGGGCAGTAAGACTCAAGAACTACAGGTCAGTCAGTCTTACATCGGTGTCTGGCAAAATCATGAAGCAGCTCCTCCTGGAAACAATGCTAAGGCACATGGAAAATAAGGAGGTGATAGGTGGCAACCGGCATGGCTTCACTGAAGACAAATCATGCTTGACAAATTTGGTAGTCTTCTACAATGGTGTTACAGCAGTGATGAAGGACGAAGAAAGAGCAACAGATGTCATCTCCCTGCATGTGGGCCAGGACAATCCCAATCACAAGTAGAGGCTGGATGGAGAGTGGATTGAGACCAGTCCTGGGCAGAAGGACCTGGGGATGTTTAGTCAAAAAGCTCAGTATGCCTTGGCAATGTGCGCTTGCAGCCCAAGAGGCCAGCCACATCCTGGGCTGCATCAAAAGCAGCATGACCAGCAGGTCGAGGGAGGTGATTCTCCCTGTCTGCTCTACTCTTGTGATACCCTGCATGGAGTGCTGCATCCAACTCTGGAGTCCTAGCATGAGAAAGATGTTGATCTGTTGGAATGAATCCAGAGGGGACCCCAAAGATGATCATATGGTTGGAGCACTTCTGTGATGACAGGCTGAGAGAGTTGGGGATGTTCAACCTGGAGAAGAGAAGCCCTGGGGGGACCTTAGAGCACCTTCTAGTACCTTAAGGGGGCTACAAGAAAGCTGGAGAGGGACTTTTTATGGGGTCATGTAGTGATAAAACAAGGGGGAATGGTCTTTAGCTGAAAGACAGTAGTTTAGCTTAGATATTAGGAAGAAATTCTTTACTGTGAGGGTGATGAGGCACTGGAACAGGTTGCCCAGAGAAGCTGTGGATGCCTCATCCCTGGAAGTGTTCAAGACCAGGTTGGATGGAGCTCTAAGTAACCTCATCTGCGGAAGTGTCCCTGCCTAGCTGAAACTAGATGATCTTTAAGGTCCCTTCCAACCCTTTCTATGATTCTATAAAATATATGAACATACTTTATCTGTATTTTTGCCTTATGGCAATGTGCTAGAAGACTATTCTTAAATTATATATTTCCTAATGTCAAAGAACAGTCAGTTTTTCATTTAACAATCATGGAAACAAATATAGAAGGAAAAAAATCACAGAATATTCTGAGTTGGAAAGGACCCTCAAGGATCATTGAAGTCTGGCTCCTGGCCCTGCACAGCCCCAAGAATCACACTGTGTGCCTTGAAAGCATTGTCCAAGCGCTTCTTGAACTCTGTCAGGCTTATTTGCTACATTCAAACTTCGGTATGCAAGTTCATTTTTTAAAATCTGGTGATTAAATTATGATCAGTGTTCTGGCATGTCATGCTTTTATTTTCATGGTGGACAAGTTGTTTAAAATTAAGAGATTTTGGAGGAGAAAAAAAGGAACAGTATTTAGCAAACAAAACTTATCCAATGTTTATTCTTTTTGTTAGGAACATCTGTAAGTCTCAATTTGTGTTTCTAGTGATTTTAATAGTATTTGTGATTTGTCAGTGATGGCCATTTTCCCAAGTATAATATATTCAACTTCGTACATCTGTTGTGCTGTTAAGTAGAAACTCAAGTTTGACAGCTCAAATGAGCTGACTTAAAAATGGAAGGAGTCAATAATGAAAGAGGAGTTGTGTTTTCCTCAATAATGCAAGTTTTGTGGAAGAAAATGAAATTCTTGTTTTTAACTTACTGCTGTGACTCTGTATGCTGGAATAATTGATTTTTATTAAATGTAGGTCAAGTGTTTCCTTTTTTTTAATTAAATGTAAGTTGACTCTTGTCCCTATTAGTAAATAAATAGTAAATTGTTTTGCTGTATATTGTACATTATTTTAAAGCTGGTAAATGCAGTAAAATATTTTTACAAGCCAAAGAACTATTCTCACTCATCATATATATATATAAATATATACACACAGTTAGGAGTAATATATACAATTAGGAGTCATATAAAATTTTATTATATCTGTATATATTTTAAATACCAAACATTATTCTTGCCCATTTTTTTGGTTATAATTTTATGTCAGTAGCACTTTTCCCCAGTGTCTTTAATGACAAGAAGATTTGATAATCTTCCTTTCCTATTTGGAACAGACTCTCTGGAACATTTGATGTGTAGAAGTGTAATATGCAGGCTAATCTGAAACTAACTTTTCAAGTCCTAATGCTTATGTGGTAGCAACTTCATGTTCCTTTGTAGGGTCCATTCAAGGCTGCTCAGTTGTTCTGCTGAGCAACAGAGACATAAATATGGCTACTTACTTTCAGTTTGGTCCAAGTCATGTGATTTCATCTGCAAGCTAAAATAATAATGGGCAAGGAGTGCAAGAGTATGCTCATTTAAGCTTTTATATATTATTATTTATTAATTTATTATTAATTATTTTTCTAAAATAATTTAGAAATTTGAATTCAGACTTAGCATTATTTCCAGTCTTAAAAATAAACTTAAGGCTTAGCTGAGTGAATTTCAGATATTTATGGTGAATGTGGGAGGCAAATATTAACTGGCCAAAAGACATAAACTAAGACCTGTTGTAGTGTAATTAATGTAGTTCAGTGTTAAGATGAGAAATCTGAAATACCATTCTGTTATTTGGCGCAAGAAATCATTACATTTAATTTAGGTGAATAAGTTTTACCAGAGTTTCTACGTGCTATGGTGCGTAATGCTGCCAAAATACTGTTTACGTCTTTAAAAGCACACACATGAAGACTTCCATAGACTCGATGTACCTTTTGTTTTTTTCAGTTTTGGAAGAAGACAGGCTCACTAAAAAATATTGTATGTTGTCTTCTATTGACACTTTATTATATCTTTTTGCAAAACAAATGAGGCATGAAGAAGAAAACTATTTCTTCCTGGATTCCTATTTTGTTTATCTTCACAAAAAAATTGATTGTAATTAATTATTGAAACAAAAATGGACAAGTATGTCTGAACAGAGGATTGAGGATTATTTTGATGTCAAATTTACAAAACCTGATGACACTTGTCCTAGAGCACCTAAAAAAACCCATTAAATTGTTCTAAACCATTAACAGGGTCTCTTTGAGAATCTGGGGGTCTCATAAGTTTCCAGAAGTCTTGAAGAAATTGTGTTCTGTGTAGTAAAACTTGGTATTTGCCCATGCTGGATTAATATCTTCAACAATAATAACAAAAAAGTTAATAAATATTCTGTGCATGTGTACCTGAAAGATTACTGATGATGACAAATTCAGACAATTTCTTCATAGTTGGGGTAAATAACTGTAGATAAGTACAAAATAGTAGATACAATATAGCTTAAGTGACACTTCATTACAATATTTTTTTAGTAGAACACTACAGATAAAATTTTTATTAGACGTGTTTTATTTGATTGAACAAAACTAATTCATTGTGCCTAATCATTGCTTTTTACCTCAATGGGAATATCAAATGTAATTTTGATATTCTGGTTCAAAACTTCTCAGTGGTGATAAAATTATCATGAATGAGTAGAAACTTAAGTTGCAAAGTAAAGGCACTCTGATTTGTTATAATACCTCAGAGAGCTGTTGTTTTTGGTACCAGTCACTGAGCAGTGTTTTAGAAGAGCATTTGGGAGATCTAATGGACCACAGTGGCATGAGTTACCTGCATATTCAAACTTAATTTAAGGATAACAGTGGATGGAATTTTTTCAAAAAATTCTGTCAACTTTATCTGAAACACCCTAGGAAAAGCTACTAAAGGTGAAAACTCCTTACTTATGCCTGAGTAACCGCTTTAAAAAGAAGCAATCAGGGAAAAATAGACAACATCAAAGCTTGAGACCTACAGAAGGGAAAATCTGGAAAGTGTTTTAAAAGTCCTGATACTCAGGAGAGAAGCAGCAGGAACTGGATTGCAAAGAATAGTCCTTATTTATGTAATGCCTAAGATCCCTGAGCTGATAATCAGAGATGAGGGACATTATTCCCTCTTCCTGCTTTCCTATAAATATGAAGAACCCATGGGAGTGAACCCTAACTGGAAAGTGGTCCAAGAATACAGGTCTTGAGACTTAAATCCCAAGTGGGACAAGAGCTGTAGAACAAGAACTGTGGAGCATTCAGGTCAAGAGTGGCAAAAGGAGTATTGCACCACTTTTCACTGTCATACCCCAGCCCAAGCCAACCCTCAAAAAAAAAAAAAAAATCAGGTGTTGCAGTACCTGAAATGACTTAATGAATATTTGGAAATTAGCAAGGGCTGCTTGGGGTAAAGCAGTGGAGTAGATGATCTCCTGACATCATATGCAGTCGTGTAGTTTTTAGGGGTTTTTAAGATTAAAAATATATATTTAAAAGGTCTGTTTTTCTCAAAACAGAGGTAAAAAAAAGTGAATTTTCATAAAAAGAGGGTTTTTTTTTAATGGCAAGGGTTTTTTTCTCCTACTTGCCATCAGTCTTGCTCAGTGATTGAAAATGATAGGCCTCAATGCAATACTAAATAAAATTAACATAATTAAGTAATTAGTTCTCCCTTTATTACATGACACTTTGTATTTAAATATTTGATTTAAATGAAAAATTGCACCTGAAAACCAGGTTTACTGGTATTACACAAAAATTACTGCAATAAATTTTGACTAGTTTAAAGGCTATAATTTTAAAATGAGTAATCAGTAATGGATTGTAATTTGGTTTTTTTCCTACCACCTCGAGGAATAAGAGTTTAACTAGCTGACAGAGGAAAACCAAATGATTCTTAGTTATATATGCATTCAGGCTAGTAAAGATGGAGAGCACCCTTTAGTATTTTCCAAAAGTAATCAAAGAAACCTATTTGGCAGTAGCTGAATTTAGGCTTCTTTAATCACTAATTAAACTTCCTTGAACTAGTCTCATGCATTTCTTTGAAATGAAAAATTAACAAATGTTCTAAAGTAGACTCCATTGAATTAAATTTGGGAAAAATTATCTCCTTAGATTTTGAGCAACTAAAACTTCATTGACCAAGAAATAAAGTTTTTCATCTTATGCAAGCAAGCTAATTTCTCAAAAAATTCGAGATTTTATTATTTAGTTCTTATACAAGTCATCCTGACCGTATTGAAGAATTAAATATACGTTAATTCATAAAATATGTAATGTAAAATACTACTTTTTGGCAGACACGTTAGAGTGCATTCTTATGAATGGTGCCTTTTTTTAAATAATAGGGCTGATATGCCTGCATATGCAGGCAACATTGCCCACTAACAGGTTGCTAGATTTGCTTGCAAATTGTTTGAAAACATATTTCAGACTTTCAGGTCATTTTAGATAAACTGTGTGTACTGAAACCGTTGATGTTTCAATATGAAAGAGAAAATCTAATCACTGTTTCTTTAGACTCAAATATCTCTGTATTCAGAGCAATTGCAAATTTGGTAATTAATAGAAAGCAATTTAGCTGATTCTCTACTTGTAGGTAATATACGGTTTTCAAATACTGGAAATTGGGAGTTTTGCAATTAGTTCATTTACAAAAACAGGTATTCAAAGATGAAGTCAGATGCTTGAAAGTCATTCTTTTTCTCAAATTGAAATACCATGAAAAGTAACTGGTGCAAATTAACAAGTATCTTACCTGCGCATAGCACTGTGCCATGATAAAATATTTGCTGGTAGTTTCACAAGATTGCGTATTTCATTTCAAGTTTCCAAATTTTGTTTCTAGGTAATAAAAATGAAGTTTCAGAGTGTCATGTTACTGATGGCTCTCGCAAAGTTTTTAAGGAATGAAAGAACGCACTGGGGGATTAAGAAAAGCTGGAAGACTCCAAAAGGTCAGTTTAACTGGACATTTGGTTTGTTAAGCTCTTTCTTTTTCTCGCTTTTGTACGTACAAAAGATAAATGTATTCTCTATGCACTATCAATTTAAAAACTTTTCTGAATCTCACTTTTCTCGAAATATTACACTAGTGGTCATCATGTATAACCATAGAACTCAGGCTTCTGAGTTCTGAAGTTCATGCCAAGCTGACATCGTAAAGGAGTTTGATAAGCCAGCCTGAACTGTTTTTCCTGAAAAGCCACTGAAGTAACCTGAAAAGATGCCTGTCCCTTTTTGAGGAGTTACTAAATATGGTAGTAGTTTTTAATTGTTTTGTAGTGGATCATCACCAGTGGATGTTTCTGCATGGAAAAGATTTATGCAAGATTGTCTATTAGGTTCCAGTAAAACTAAATATCTTAACTTCAGTATTTGAGCACAGTTTGGCTGTAAAAAAGGGGGAGAGGCTTGGGTTAGCACTGAATCTTTCTGTAGTTGTTTTTCCCTTCTAAAAGTTTTTTTTAAGTAAACATAAAACTAATCAGGAAAATAAATATTAGTTCTTTTTATCAGTAAGTAGCAAGTCATACAATTAGAATGACTGCTGAGTTGTTTTGAGAATGAGAAGTCCTAAAGTACTAAAGTTTCATTGGTACTTATTGGTGGAGTTTCAAAGAGGCTGATCACAGATTTTGATCCCCTTTTATGTAAAAGATGTGAGCAGGTGCAATTACTAGGTTCAATCCCATCCTGAAGATGGGATATTCATCTCCATGGACCAGTGATCTTCTCTGCGTTAAAATTATTATTTGACTTGTTTGCATCTTACTACTTGTTACTTTTCTTATATATTTCCTCCCTTTACTTTCCTAAATATGTAGATATGTATTATTTGTAAAATTAATAACCAAGTATTAGGTAGAATGTATAAATCACTTGGTGTCTGCTTGCGAAGAATGCTCTGTGAGGTGTTTAACAGTAGCAAAGCTAAGAAAGCTCTGGGGGAAATTCTTATTCAGTGTTTCAAGATTGCTGCTTTCATCCATCCCTTTCAGCTGGGTGATAATACAGTTTCACTCAAATATCAATAAAATAGCAGTACATACTTTCATTCATTTCATGAATGCTTTTTAAAACTAATTTTAAAGGTTTTCATTGTCAGTTTAACTATGAAGATTCATTTAAAGACAATTTTGGGGAGGGTGGGCGTTTGATTGAAAAGTAAAAAGAACTTCACAAAAAGATGCTATGTGATTAACCAGATAGTCTAGCAGCTAGACTGTTGCACTGAAAAGTTTTGCTTTTAAGAGGTCATTGTTTTGAACAAAATTAGAATGTGTAAATTTTTGTAAATAATTAAGTGGCAAAACTTCTCAGGTACCAATCAGAGTATGTTCTTGAAGCTTTATAAAAACAACCAAACATTATACAAGTTTTTATTTAATACTTTTTTCCAGTGGCTACAACTTAAAACATTGCAATGTTTTGCTAACTTTTGACAATGTGAAAGTGAAGTTAGGAAACATTAGTTTGTTTCCTTTGCCCAAACAAAAAAGTGTCTGAGAGAAATAGCATGAATATTTTAAAAACTGTTATTTTATTGAATCATTAATTATTAAGAAGTATTTTCTAATGTTTATTTAAATCTTAAAAGAAATTTTATGTTAAAAATACAAGTCCAAAAGAAATGCCATTTCCTAGATGTTTTAATATACAAACATTTCCACAAATGTGGTGACTATGTTAATCTTCAGACAGATTGTATTGCTGGAAATCTGTTGTAAGTGTAATCTGTTAAATTCATTATTTTGCTTCCCAAATTAAGAATGGCTACATAAAATGCAGTTAGGTTTTTGTCACAGAAAAAGGGTATAAAAAAATCTACTACCTCTTTAAAAATATTTTAGTTGTTTGCTGAATGTAATTCCTGGACAAGGTCTAAACTGGAACTTTTACGTATACTTTAGTTACAACTCCTTTGCTGTGGTGTATGCTACCGTGATCACAATTCTAACTCATTCGGTACAGTGAATGCATATCAATAAGCATTTGGAGTTCACTATGTGATAGTAAATATTAAAAAAGCCATGGAAAAATACCTGTATGACATAAGACTGGTGTAAGTGTTAACATTATTTACTTCTCTGATTATTTCTTTTTGTCATTTTTAGTTTCTTTAGTTTAATATAAATCAAGCTGTAGATGCTGTATTTCTCTGCTTTGCTTATTGTGTTATGCATTTGTTTTCTTCAAAACCTCATGCAAGTTGAGTTTCTTGTATTTTGTTTTAGCTGAAATCAAAATCAAGAATGACTTTGTTCAGATGCTTGTATGTAACAATTTTAAATTACAAGTACTCACAATTTCTTTGTCTATACTCTTTATATAGGCATGCTTATTGTACTCTTAACATGGAAGACTTCTAATCAAATTTATCTAAAACTGTACTGTCAACAAACAAAAGCCATGAAGACAGAGCAGTTTATAATGGCAGCTGCAGACATGCTGGTGGAAGATAAGTAAGATTTTCAGGAATCTTTAATGGCTTCAGGAAGAAGCTTTCCAGATTTAACACAACACTATCATCCCAAAAACACGACTTTTGGTGTGTTCAAAGACAGTACATAAAGATAAATTTATAAAGTTGACTCTTAGTTTTGAGACAAAGCAACACGTAAATGAGGATAGTTTCAGATTCTTCACCTACAGAGTTGTTAAGGATAAAGACTGTCGATTAATGCCTGTGAATGTCATCAGGAGTCTTCCCTGCTCTAGAAATTTATGTTGATGATACTGGATTTTATCGATAAAATAAACCCTGTATATATGGTGATACATTTTTTAATTATTCCATGAATTTGGATACATAGTTCTTTGTTGCTTTGCATAGGGAGGATGAAGTGAAATAATTAAAGTTAATCATAAAGCCAAAAACGTATTCAAACAAGTTATTTACGGTGGTGATAAACTGTTGGTATAAGGTTGAGTGCTCATTTCATTGCTGATTGTCACAAAAACGTTTACATTTACCACAGCGCCTGCTGCATGTCACAAATGTAAATATTTTGTCCTTTAAAAATATGGGAGACTCATTATTAATAACCGGTTAACTGCCATTTTTATTCAAATACAAATTTTTTTTCCTAGTTTTAGAGGGATGTGAGAGGTAATGGATGTCTTTTAAAGCATCTAACAGTATCATATCACTAGAAATGCAACTCAAATTTTACAGTAAAAAAACAATATACTGTTTTCTGAGTTAATAGAAGAAACTCTCTAATCACATGAAAAAAAACAGTTAAACATTGTGAGGGATAGTTAAAACTGTATTTTCACAAAGACGACAGTATGGACTGTGCTGGAATTCCTTCAGTTTTGTTTTTAAACATTCATCTTGGCTTGTATTTCTGTAGCTTTTGGATTTGGTGAAGGTGCATGTATCAACACTGAACTGACAAGATTTTTTTGAGAAGAGAGAACATTTTTGCAAAGAGTTTAAGCTTGTGCTGTGTAACAATTGGTGTCACTAAATTTCTGCTCACTCAACAAATTACATATTGGTTGTTTTTTAGAACCTTTTTCAAGAAACACTGGCTTAATTAGATAGAGAGTTTTGATTTTTTTTGTCTGCAAAAAAACCCACTTCACATTTGTTTTTTTTCCTAGAAGATTTGTAGGTATTGTGATTTTTGGTTCAGAGACTATTTATGAGGTCTTACATAAAGTCAGAACATATTTTTTATTATTACTTTTAGGTAAGTAGGAAATCGCTCAAGATCTATCCATGGTGAACAGCGGATAGGGATAAGTATTGAGAATAAAATCCTGGAATCCCAGGTTACTTGAAGTACATCTGTATCATCTCCATCCTTTTATTTAAAAGTCTATGCATTCTTGGATTTCACGGTGGAAGGGAGGCTTTAGCGCAAGAAATAGATGCAGTTCTTTCTGGCTCAGAGCATGAGGGGAACAGTACATAAACATTGTGCAAGAAGTGAGGGCTTGGAGTCCATACTTGAAGTGTACATACCTCATTGCTGAACAGAGGTCTATATTCTGTTCTTTTCCAGTTTTAGGGTGCACTGTTACATTTAGGGCTGAGGTCATAACCATCGTGCCAGAAAACCAACCAATCCACGGGATTGCAGCTGATTTGACAGAGAATCAGTGTAAAACTGAAACTGTTTTCCCTCTTGGCATCAGGAACTACCAGGAGGAAAAGGAACTGCTGCTAAGATCCTCTTTTCTTTTTTCTCTTTTTTTTTTTTTTTTAAATTTAAGTGTTGGAAAAATGAACACCCTGCTTAAACGTACTGGTATCTGGCGTGACTCTACAGGTCGGAAAGCCTTCAGCTGATGGAACTGCTTTCTAGATGATTCTCACAGATCTTGAAAATTGTTGAAAATCAATCTGAAAAAAAAAATATCTAAACTCCATTTTATCAGTATTTGAAATGTCTTCATGGAGATTTTTTTAATATTTTAAAACAAATATCACCATTCTTTTCTACATTGAAATTAAACATTTTATAGATTAATGGTATCACCTTTGTAGAACTGAATTATGAGCTTACAAAAAAGTCTGTGTGGAACAGAAATATAAATATGCAATCAGCTAAATAAGAAAAAAATCTTGCAACACATTGCACACACACTACAAAAGTCTTTTTTTTTCAAAGATTTGTGTGCAAGTATGATTAACTCTTCATGATCCTAAAAAAGTTTTGAGTTGTTTTTTTTTTAATTATTATTCTACCCTTCTTAATATTTCTGTTGCACCTCAGAGCCTGAAATAAGTATCGTTCAGTTGTTTACCATATTGTCTAGAGGGCTGTATAGCTTTAACTCAGGTTGTTGACTATCATCAACAAGTGAGTTACTAATCTTGTCAGAGAATTATTTATTGAGGTTTACAATCTTATATCTTAACACAAAGTTAACATAAATCCTGGCTTGATTCTTTTGGGCTGCAAACACGTTCAGGATTATCTTCACCTCAAATTCCACTCATTGCTGCATAGCTGGCAATCTCCAAAAGACTTCAACTATCCGAATTAACCTCACACTGTTACTGATTTTGCAAACCCAACATGTAACAATTGGGGGGCTTCAAAATGGTTCTTTCCCTCTAAAAACGGTTCCATCCCTTCAGCCTGCACAATGGAAATTTGTCTGTGCCTCAGTTGCTTCTGCCCAATGACCCACTGTGAACAGAATTAATAAACCAGTGATGTCTGCAATGAAGTAGCTGAGGCAAACATCATTTCTAATGAACCTTCCATGGTGAGTAGCAACCACTGTTACCAAAAATCAAATAAATGGCTGATGAGGTCTTAAATATCAAACCATTAATTTTGCTGAAGCTACTCTACTGTTGCCCACTACCCTTGGGCTTGTTTTTTATCTTGCAATTCGGGCATAGGGTATCTCATCAGAAACTTTATGAAGTGCTTTTAGTTGGTCATAAGTCAGCTGTCCAAAGAGATTGTTCACTTCGTTGGATCATAATGAAAGCATAAACACTTTTTTAGTGTCTGAACAGATGAAACACATTCACTCCTACATGAAATTATTCACAGAAGAGTACAAACTAGTTTTCTTAACCGTGGTGAAGCTGGGGTTTGAGGGGAGAAGTTCATGTTGCTTAAAATTTCAGCAGAAACTGCATGACTTTCTCACAGATCATTTGGGAAGGTGAGTACACATTGGACATTATTTGGTACTAATGACAGAATTAATTTGTGCCTTGGTGTTGTCTTTAAAATGTTTCTTCTTGCCTGTATGAGTTTTCTCTGTAACATAGTGTTGCCCTGTGATATAGCCCTTGTTCCTCTTTCTCCTGTCTTGTGACTTTTTTGGGGTGAGCGAGTGCCCTTCCTCACCCAATCTTTTGTCTTCTGTTAGAATCTAAGCTATAAAGTAGCTTTCTACCCTTCTTAGCATCCTTCTTCTTGAAATTCACTTCTGTCACACTGTTATCTACCTGTCTTCATCTCTTTCTTATATTAGAAAAAGGTTCTTTACCCAGAGGGTGGCTGGGCACTGGAACAGGCTCCCCAGGGAAATGGTCACAGCACCAAGCCTTTGACAGAATTCAGTAAGAGTTTGGACAATGCTTTCAGGCACACGGTGAGATTCTTGGGTCTATCCTGTGCAGGGCTAGGAGCTGGACTTGATCCTTGTGGGTGCCTTCCAACTGAGGATATTCTATGATTCAGTGATTCCTCAAGTGTCTCATAATAAGGTCCAGAGATGAAATTTTCCTAGTGAAAGACAGTTGAGAACTGGACTGGTGCTTTTCCTGAGCAGTGGACCAGGAAGCCAACCCCTAACTGGTACCTGTTGGAAAGACTTAAGCTTCCCATCAGAATGGAAATCCCTGCTGCCTGTGCTTATAGAAATGATAATAAAACTTTTCATGTTGTGTCAATTTACTTGGAAATTTTTTTGTTGCAGCCAAAGGATTGGAAAGGAGCATCTGCTCTCCCATTAACCTTTGGCTATTCTAATAGAAAAAATCCATCTCCAGTTTTGCTAATGATCACAGCCAGGTAAACATGTCCCTTAAAGTTGCAGAATGCTGTGAAAGCTGTCCCTTGCTACAGAGGTTTGTATCCCCTATGATTGATTTTTTTTTTCTTAAATATAGTTGTTAGCTACACTTGGTTGCATGCAGAAAACTGAAAATGTCAATAAGTTGTAAACTCTGACATTGCTGGTCTGAAAAGTCTGAAACCACTCATCATCTTTCATCTTGCAAACAGAAGTTCTAGGGGTTGCTATATCTGGGATTACAGGATTTCTCATTTTTTCTAGTATTTTACGGTGAAGGAAAAATGGTACCCAGGCACCTGTCACATCATCTTATTTTTCTGTCTTCTAGTAGCATACTTTGTTTTTTCATCTTTCCCCATGGCAGGATTGAATTTAGTTAGAATGGGTGCATTTTTTCATATCTTTCTAGGACCAAAGCAGAGATGCTATATTTGGTTAGGAAATTACAGTTGAAATTGACTTTTGCAGCCAGAGGAAACTGGAAAAATATCACTATCAAAGGACTGATAAGAGGAGAAAGGCTAGCCAGAAAGTAAATTACAGCTTTGAATAATTGCTGTTTTTAAAACATACTGAATAATAATCATTCATTACCATTACAAATTATTTTCAGCTGTGAGCCACAATTACTTGAATAAATTAATGTATTACAATTTATAGATTGTTTCTAAAAGCAGACTTAAAGTTACATTACAACCTTCCTAGATAAAAGACTGTTGAATATTCCTGTGCTACACATGGCTCTGTCTTTTGGCTCATGTACTAGTAGGACTGAAGATTGTTACTTCTGAAATATTGCTGTAAAGATCAAAAGTCAGTATAAGAGTTCTATACCAGTTTCAAAACCATCTGATGGACTTAAAAGAGCCAGAGAAGAAGGAATTTGAAGAGTACAAGCGAAATAGCATAATAATCCTGTACATAATAATAATAATAATAAAATAATTATTAAAATAATTATTAAAATACATAATATAATATAATAATTATTAAAATACATAATAATGCCTTACACTGCATTTGCACACACACGCACTGCTTTCCCCTGCCTCACTCCTGGCCTCCAAAAAGAACTTTATCTGGTACATTGGCCAAATCACATAAGGCAAGTATCTTCTTGAGTCCTAAAGGGGAAGGCATTTTTTTGCTCCATCAAAGCATATATCTGAGATTGAGAGTACTCTAAGGCTTTTTTCTTTCAGAACTTCAGTCAACTTTAAGGCACAAGAGGAGCATTTGGACTCAGTAATATACAATTCAAAAGTGCTATTTATTGGTTAAAATCCTTTCTTGAAAAATATCTGAGGCCTAGGTTCTTGACTCAAAGACAAAATGAGATCTAATATACATGAGATGGAATTCAACCAGTTACAGATGTAAAATTATTATTATTATCAAGTTAATTTTTTATGTGAATGCACTTTATTCTTGAAAACTGACCTGGAAAAACATTTTGTGGTCTAATTTTCATCTGTCATTTATGAGACAAAACTCATGACATGCTTAAGAAGGAAAATTTGAATTCACTTTCTTGAAAAGCAGGTTGTACAAAACAGGACTTTTTTTCTTCTTGTCCTTCAGCTCCAAGAAACACCTACTCAAACTTGGAAGGAAGAAAAAATACATTTTGAGGTTGGACACCTTCTTTCTGGGGTCAGTAAGTTAACATACAGGAAGTATCACATTGTTTTTTAAATACTGTGGAGATTTAGAAATACTATTGCCTCTTAGCTACTGAAATGCATGTTTTATATTTCAGATGACTTAGAAAAATCTTTCTTTGTTGGCAGACTCTGAACAAGTACTTAATGCAACTGTACTTCTAGAAAATATATAAAGGAAAGCTAAACTATATAGTTTATATAAAAGCTTGTATTCCAGACCTCAACAATAATTCAGAAAGAAGTGTGTTCTGAGTCAGAGAACAGATAATGCAACTCTTCAGGATTCAGAGATTAATGATAAATAAAAGGACCAGTTAACTTAATACCACCTTTTCCAGTGTTTTATTAATAATAATCCTGCTACAAACATGCATTAGAACTCACAGTAATGCTCAGCAGATGTCTTTTTGCTGGTCAGAAAAGAAACTGCTAACTCAATTTTTTTTGTTGTTTTTGTTTGGTTTGGTTGGGGTTTTTTGCAATAAAAGCAACATAAAAAATAAAACAGACACAGAGAGTACAGAAGAAAAATTGCATAGCAGGGAGGGAAGCAATTAACTTGAAAAATGTAGAACTGAAAATGAGAACATATTTTGGCCAAGTTTTCCACTTGGTAATTGTAATTAAAGGGAACTGCTTGTCTCACTGAAGCAATAAAACAAAATATTGTCTGTTTAGCGAATGACCTCTAACTTGCAAAAATATGCAGTTCTGAATGCAAATGAAATAACACTTTGGAAGAAACTAAATTTATTACAATTTCTATGTTTTGTGTACGTTCTTCTGCATTCTGAAGTCTTTGAATAACTTTTAAGTGCACTGAAAGGACATTTGTTCAGAATACTCCCTGTACCATCTTGTGTATGTGTTGTAGCATAAAAACCACAGCTCAAAAGCTGACTTTGCAGGGTAAGGTCAGGACAGGCTGCAGGTTTCTTCATTTGTGTGGATCCAGTATTTTCACTTACCTATAGACAAGGTATTAAGAAACTGTTGACAAACATTTCTGCTCTAAAGCTGAAGAAGCAGCTGTAGGATTTCAAGCTGCTCTACTCCTGGTTTATATTAATGCACTTTTTTTAACCCGCGTTTTGGCAAAAGTAGTAGTAATGATTAGTAATAACTTCCATAACATGTATAAAAATTGTAGGGAAGGATATTTTTTTGCACATTCCAACACACCAGGATCTAGCTTTGGAGCTAATGCTACGCAAGGAGCCCCAGGAACCTAGTGGAATTCCTTTTTCAGATTTAACTCTAGACTTTGACTAAAAGAGCTTAATTTAGATAGCAGCAAGCCTTCGCTTTAGATACTTAAGGGGAACAACATGACCATGCTGAAACATACATATTTGACTTTTAGATGAGTTTTTCCACGCAGAAAGATTGGACAGAGCAAAGCAAAACCTTGCCTTTAAGCCTTGTTTTTTGCCTTCCCAGGCTGTCACATCCCAGAATCCTTTATTGTTCATGATTTTTTGCAGATCCCACAATATGTATTGACAGTATGAAGTATGTCCTCATAATTGTATAATGTGACCCCATGTCTGATTTCAATCATCTGACCTAACCTGTGCACTACTGTGTCTAATATTGCAGTCCTTTCACCACAAGAACCATTATTTAATTTCTTACTAGATGTCTTTTTTGAGTTTTTATTCTTAAATTTTGAGTTTATGTAACTTAATACTAATTATATTAATGTTATGACAGTCATATCTAATATATATTGCTGCATTTTTGTTATTTTTGCACAAACTCTTTGTGTATAAAACTCCAGCACAGAGTTGAGTTGGAACTTGCAAGAGTAATTGAATGCGACTGCTTGTTTGGAGCTGGAAAATAATGCAGCAGAAAGTCTTTTGGCTAAGAACAGAACAAAATTTGATTACAGATAAGCTCACTTTATCCTCTCTTCAACTGTCAGGCTAGTAGTAGAGTAAGATATCAGCAGTAAGTATTGCTGGCAACAAGTTAGAATTCAGAAACTTACATTTCCAAAAATACTGCATTGAATTTCTCTCAGATATTTCAGTGTAAATGTTGCATCCTTTTGTCTTTTGAAGTTTTATTCCATTCTATTATTGATTGGGTTTACATTTTGACATTGTTTACGTTTTCAGTTCTGAAGTTTGTAGATCTTACATGTTTATCATGACTTAAAAAAATATTGAATATGCTGCATTATGTTACTTCTGAAGACTTAAATAGATGGAGTTTGTGGTTTTCAAATTTACGTACCCACAAAATGAAATTACTATGTCTATGTTGAAATTACTCCTTATATAATCTTTAATATCTGCCTTGTCAGTGGTATCTAAATTGTGTTCTATTTATGCAAAGAATGTTCATATAATGAACAGTCATGGTGCACATTATTAGTCTACATTCTGTAAGTCTAATAGTCTACACAGGTAATTCCAACTCCATTCTTAAATGTGACAAATTACTTGATTGCTCAATAGAGAACAGTTCTGTACTGATAAGAGATGTCAGATGGAGTTGCATTAGAGTATGTTCTCTCATCTGTTTTTTGATTCATTACTGGGTAAAATGAGTTGCCCTCAATTCTTTTTTTGACCTGTACCAGCAATTCAAAATATTTTTATGGTCTCAGCTCAGTACATTACTCACAGGAAACTTTGGGAGTTTACCACTTGGGTTGTGGTAATATATTGTGGTGCAGAAGTGGGAATTGTTTTTTCTTAGGGACCATTAGTTATCTGGAGAAATAATTTACGTTCATAAATGGAGTTTGAAGGTTAGGACTTTTGAAATAATTGTGTAAAATTTCATTGATCTACTTTTTTCTACAAAATTAAAGTGTTTGTCTATGTTTATGTAGCTACAAGTAATTCTTAGCAAAGGTTTTCAAAAGCTCTTCTTACATGCATTTTTTGATGACAATGTTCTGTTTAATTATGTATTCTCTGATGCTGCTAAAATTCATGTTCTGTGCTACCTTTGTGCATGTTGGAGGCCATGTTGGTCATTGCTGATGAACTCCCTTCTTTCTGACTTCTATAATACTAATTCTTAAAAACTTTTTTTTAATAGTCCATATGGGGCAAACACTCCTGCTTTGTATATAAGCTATGGATGGCATTGCAGAGGAAGGCAGGGGTGCTTTTTAAAGTGTTTCAGAGTTGCTAGTTTGAGGATTGCTGTACTCTTTGAGTATCCCTTGTGTGTTACATTACTTGGACAACTTCTATTTACTAGAAAATACTGAAGAGTGAAGGAATATTTACTTAACCTAAACATAAAATACTGAAGTTATGCCAAAAAACCCCACTATACTATAAAAATAAAGTCATAAAAATTATATTTTTCAATAAATATGCTCTTGTTTCTGTGGCATCTGAGCTAATCTGTGCCTTTTTTTGGAAGAAACTGGAATTTTAAATTACAGGTTTTCTGTGTTGTAGGTAAGCTGCCTTTTCCTTTCCATCTAATCAGAAAGAGAGGGCAGAAGACAAATACTGGCCTTTTTTCTGTGGCATCTCAGACTGGAAATCCTTTTTGTTTTTGCTAATGAAAGCTTACACTACTGTCTTCTGCTATATCAGATGCTTTGAAACAAGACATGGTGGAAATGGTTTCCTTCATTGTTCTCAAAGTTTAATATTTCTAGTATATGTGTTAATTTGCAGTCTCTTCTCCAGGTAATACTATAATTATGGAGTGGTTTAGTCCTTTTAGTTGAAATTTTTTTTCAAAGGGGAATTTTTTTCATATTTTTGATTTTTTTCTTGTCTCTCTCACATCTCTAGCCAACAAAGATACTGATTATGACTGGTATCTTCTAATTATTGAGCATTCTGACTCTTCATTCAGCACACGGTTTCAATTTGAATGTGGATAATCTTATTGTGTTGGTTACAAAATTTTTGGGCTGTGCACTTTATTTCATTCTGTATTCTGGCTAGAAATTCATACACACGTGATATGTCACTGCTATTTGCCCTGTGTATGTTTCTGTTGCTATGGTGCAGACTGAAGTAGTTTCATAGGTGAGCTCAGCAGAGCTTCAGAGCAATAAAACTGAAATTTTAAGCAAGTTTTGAATTTTTCTGAAGAAAATGGAAATAGTAGTTGTACGTAGTAAATAGTTCAGCCCAAGACTTAGGTTTTCCCCATACATTTTAATTATTTCTATTTAAAAAATCACAATCTAAAACATAAGCTTAAAATGTTTTCTTTCATACAAATAGTTGCAGAGTAAATATCAGTTGTAGGCTTTTTAGCCACTTAGTTTCAAAACATTTGAAGCAGCTGCCACTGCATATTTTGGGAGAGAGTTAATAATTTTCTGGCATGCTCTTATCATTCTCTTAAAGGTCTTACAGCATAAAGAACATCCAATAAAAACACAATTCCATATTTTAGACTACACTTGCTTACAGTTTTTTAATTCATTTTGAAAACTCAAGATATTTTTACTATCCACAAATCTGTTTCAGGTTTGATGTACTTAAATCTTGACAGTTACATAGAAATAAGTGCTCAGAAACAGCATTTAGTGGCTACTCTTTCAGAAGTTTTATGTAAATGGTTGTCAATTGCTATTAACAAATATATATGTCAGAAACATAAAATGGAATTAATATTTTTCTTGTACTTAATGTGACTGGATGCTGGTAATGCCAAGCTTATAAAATGAACTTTGTAAGTTGTGCAATTCAGGATCACTGTGGAGGAGGTACAGATCACATCTGCAGTGCAATAGCAGGGGCAAACAGAGGCTGTGTTCTGCCTAAAAGAGGAGAACAAATCCTGGCAGAGCTGGGGAAAATTTAATTTTTCTTAAAGAGGTCATTATTTTTTATTTCTTTTATGTTGCTTGTATATTGACTTTTCCCCTAGCCAATTACTATTTCATTAAATTAAAATGTCTGGTGATAACAATTGCTTTTCTTCAGAACCTTTTTGTCGAAACTGTTCTTTTGACTGACTACAGTTGTAGGCATGCATCAGCTTTTAAATGGG